GGCCAATAACTAAAATCAACCAATCAAAATGCTCTATTGCCGGTCAATATTCTCTCAGTATAAGACCAGGCACTGTCCTGAATGGTCCCGAATGCTACTGCACCTGTGTCCCTTTGAACTTCAGTCGTATAAGAAATAACTTATTAACCAAGCTAGGTCGGGACCGTACTGGAAGAATATCGGCCCACGGTCTTTTTTTGTACGGACCTCGCTGTGCTCGGTCCATACTGTCAAGACCTCAGGCCAATATTCTCCCAGTACGGCCCTCGTGCTTGGTTAATAAGATATATTTCATTTTCGTAACCTGACAGGTGAAGATATGTAATTAAGCCCAGTGAACTGTGAAATTTTTGCTTTAAAGTGGTTTATCCAATTTTCTCTCCTGCTCTTAATTATTCTGATCAAAATAACTAACAGAGCAATGTGCAATAACTGTAAATATTACATGTATCACCAAACAACTATTAGGGGAACTGGTAGAGGATGGTCATTTACAGCTAGCTAATAACAAAGCTTTGTTCAAGCTTTCAATACTTCTACCACATTTTCATGCATACGTATATAATGGGGGAACTAATACTTATATCTTAAAATAAAATAGTCAATGAGACATAACCAAGCATAAACCTAGTAAAGTTCTAAAATTATTCACAAATACTGCAATCTGGTTGACTACTCTACTTACTACCAATTATTTTAACAAGTAGATTCCATACTGCCCTGCAACTGTTCAATAAATTAGAAAACTACTTTGTAAGGGGAAGACAGTTACTACAATTAATGTGAGTTTCATAAACTGAAATTTCCCTAAGTTAATTACATTCATTTTCTATGTTTAAAGTTAACACCTTTATCTAAACTGAAAGATTATTGACTCCTCGTGTTACCTCTTCAGTTCCTTTGATTTTGAAGTTAATTTGGTTAGAACAATTCTTTTTATCTTTGATGTATTTTGTATTCGGTTAATTTTTTTTCTGGCAATGGCAAATAAAATGAATGTCAATGAATGAATGAAATTCATTCAAATTTGGACTAGGAGTTAATTGCTAACCACACATGAAATAACCTAGAGATTATACAGATATTCTGTAGATTTCAACATGGTGAGGTTCATCTTTCCAAATTACCCTTTTAGAAAAGCCTAAGATTGTAGCTGTCACTGTAATTAGGTTAGTGTTACTGGACACACATGCATTACGGCCTGGACGGAGAAATAGATTCCAGCACCATGGTAAGATCCATCTAGCTATGCAAAGTCTCTTTTTAAAAAGCAAGACACAGTGCTCCTAGGCATGTTAATTGTAATCTATCTCTGCTTACGAGTGGGTTCCTTGATGTAGTAAGCATTGGCCCACTCCTAACATGTGCCGTCATATAAGCTCAGTTGGTAATTAGTAGCAACCAACTATTGCATCAGCCGGTAGCATGAGATTCAAACCCGTTTAAGTCTGACTTGTTTTTTTCTGCAATTTTTTTTTTTAATTCCAGCTCGCTGCAAGAATCCCACAATCGCTTGTACATGGATATGATTAACCTTACTTGTACTTAGTTCTACTTTGTGACGTCTGATTTCAAGAAACCGACACAAGGCGGAAGTGACACTGCCGTAAGCATGACTTGGACGATTAAGTTCTGTTCTCTTAAAGAATTCATTTTTTTTCGACTAAAACTGTAAGGAGACTAGCTAGTAATCCAACGATTATGAGTTTCTGCAATCTAAAAGATGAAAAATTAATGAGAGATGAAAGTTCTGTTGCCGTTGTGTCTTTTACTGTATATTAATTGCTTACCTTTGCCAAATACAATGTCAGCAGCGACAGAGTAAGAAACTGTAAGTAGATTGGAAATGCGTACAAAAGCCACCGTATAAAAAGACTAAACTGTTTTGTTTGTGTGGTATTTTTGAAATAAAATGAAAACAACGTAGTTCTAAGTGCAGCCCAAAACAGGTAGATAAACAAGAACACACTTTGATACGATAATCGGCGATGCTTGAAGTACAGGATTAGGCACAGTTGCACTACTATCATCAAAAATAACAAAGCGTACAGCGTCGTAAAAACGATCGTCAGAGCAAGGTACGCTGTTTTTGAAAGCCCAGGCACAATTATAGCTGGAGTAGTGGAGTTGAAGGGAATTAAAGTTGGCCAAGTCATCATTTTCTCGTAACTTGACCCAGGTGAGTATCCAACGAAGACTGTAGGCAGTGTTTCTACGAAGTTCTTTCGATTTACCTCCATCACACTACAAATTGATTGGCTTGTGCGACAAAGAGAGGTGGAAAAGGATTTTTATGGCTTACAGCAATCATAATATTGCCTTTGCCTCTCGCCGAAATCACAAGATGTGCATCTTTTTAACCGAAAATGGATGAGTCCGGCTGAAAGTTGTTGTTTCCTTGTACTTCGACCTAGAGCCCGCGATGATGACTTTTAGCGGCAATCCCGTAACCTCTACGTCATCATTTACTTCGGTTTCTGTTTTCAAGTGTCGAAACATTTTTCTCGCAAATTTGCTACATCTTTGCCGTCTTTGAATTGTATAAAACATTAATTGGTACTAGCTGAAGGTAAAGGATTACTTATACTTATGATTCAACAAATGGGACGGTGTCAGGGAAGGAACGAGGGATAAATTTTCGCCGATGTAGTTTACCCATGATCACTAGACGCCGCCGAACACGATCGAGCGGTGAAGACAACGATAAAACTCGAGTGGAATTTTTAAGCGAAAGCAACTTTAGTTCAACAGCTGTGGATATGACAACATGTAGAGACAGAACATCGGAGTTTATCTCCGCCGTAAAATCACTTCAATCAAGACAGGTATAGTCATAAAATTTGCCGGTATTTGGAGTAGTTTTTGGCAGGTACGCGACAGTTCGGCCGGATGTTAGTATTCCCTTTAAAATGTATAAACTAGTCTATAAAGTCATTTTGTAAGAGCCATGAATTCTTTAGGAAAAAGGGATTATTTCGTTTAACGTCCATTAACTGGGAGATTTTTGGGGAACGAGTTTTCTTGTCGATCGGCCATGGCTCAGTTTTAAGTAACGGTCCTATTTTTACTCCGAGGTGAATTAAACTTACAGCTTACAGTATCTGCTTATAGTTTGATATCGAGAAAAGAAGGCAATCTAGATATTATACACTTTGAATTTTTTTGCATGTAGAGGCCAACGATACACCATAAAATCTCATATAAATCATTACATTCACGAACGACTAAGTAAAGGTGTAAACTATATCCAGATTTGAAATGCCTAGCTCTATCCTGGTTTTAGCCCAAAGGAGGCCAGTGGCCCGTCAACCCACAGGAGTTACGACCATCGTCACTTATGATCTATAGCCTGCTCCAAAGCCAGTAGCTCAGTGATGGACAAACCCACCCTTAACCCTCTAAGACCCAAGATCTGATCGTTAATTGTCCCTTCTAGCTGCTATAGGTTTACTTGGAAATTAGTAACAAGAATTTGGTGTTATAGATCAAGATAAGAACTTGTATCTGATAAGTTTGAGTATTCTCATTACCTGTTTGATGGATTATGTATGCATATCATAGGGAGAAGTTACATGTTAATCACTTCTGGGAGTTAAAGGGTAAAGTGTAAGGCCTGAGGTGCACAGCCCAGAGAAATAACAGCTGTGATACCCTGTATTATTGTGCCTTTGACTGAAAAAGGTTAGGCCCACATTAAATCATATATTTTGGTTTGGTTTGCACGTGTGAAACTTCAATAGAAGTTTATGGTCTTCCATTACCTTGCTGCTATAAGCTAGAAAAAAATTTTTATCCTATCAAGTATTACTGTGAATAATATGTGACTTTATCATGTTTTGCAGGGAAATAATTTTGCTGGTAACAGGCATGACCACCAGCGCCAAAATGGACTCCAGAAGAGTGAATTCTTTTTCATTGCTAAGTAAGAAAATACTGTAGTTGTGTTTTTGTTTGCAGAGTTTCTTTTCTTTGTGTCATTTTGGGTGCCATCGAATATGGGAGTAAATATAAGGTCACCAGTTGTTTCATACCCACAGTACCCATTCATTTTGCACCCACCAAGGTAATTTCATACCTGGTCAGCTGAGTCATTTTGTACCCATACCAGTTAAGTATGTTTTTCATGCTAAGAAGGTTTAGATTAAGAAATTTAATGGAATAAATGACTAATTAATACAAGAAAAAACAATCTGATTATCAGTTAAAAACAAGATGGGGGGAATGGTACTTACACTAGCTATTATTTGTAAGAAAGTCACTGTTTTAAACAACAGACTATTCCAGTAAAAATATTATACCTACCTTGTGCTAAGCAATAATTTAGTGTTTTTGTTATGGTCACAAATATGCACAACAGAATTTTACTTGCTTGACCCTACTAACCTGTTATACACAACAGTTGACATACCTGTATGTACATGGGTCACATGTGAGGTTTCAAGTGAATATTAATTTTATTGGAATGGGTACAAATCGACTTGGGTTTCAGGTATAAAACAACTCAAATTAAGCATGAATTGACTGAATTTGGGTACATAATGACTGTGGGTATGAAATGACTGGATACAAAAATATGTAAATCCATCTGAATGAAAGGGGAGTGACACCACTTTCAGTAAGTGTCCAGAAATTTGCTATTCTCAAACTGTCAGGCTGCTTTCTTTATTTTTTTTCTCCATTATTTATTGTATGGGATTTCCTGTGTGATTCATTATGCACTTGGGCATTTGTTAAATATTTTTAGCTTAACCCTTTTACTTCCATGAGTGACCCAAATAGAAGTTTTCCTTACAATGCTTAATTAAATACAACATCAAGAAGACAAGTGATGAGAATAAAGAAAAATATCAACCAATGGATTATTAGTTAGTTGATCAGATACCAAGTTCTCCACAGGAACATCATAAGAATTGTATCACAGAGAGTAGGGAGAGTTACTAAATGAGATCTTGGGAGTGAATGGGTTAAGGGAGGGATGCTTATTGGAAGGAGGGCAAATAATCAAAGGGGAGCCTTTTATTTAGAAATTTCTAATATGCACTGATTCCCCTGTAATTGAAGCTTAAAAGCTTATAAATAAAGTGGCAATAGAAGCAAGTTTTCTTCGTATCCCTATTATTTAATAAGATAGTGAGGGAAGGGGGGCCAATTGATCAAGAAGGATCCCTGTTTAATATTATGGCCTACAACTGTTCATGTAGGTTGGGGTTTATTCAAGGGAGCTTGGACACTTATTCAAGGAAATAGGGTATATACTGTACATATGTGATTGGAGTATTGCTATCATGATAGAAAAATAGAAAAGACAAAAAAATGGAAAAATGCAATGTTCAGTTAACACAGTGTGGAGATGAACTGTTTGGACTTTGCTATAGTGTACACTTTATGTAGTTGATAGAAATTCAGTGTTGTTCCCATATCTGTTTCCTTGCCTGTATATACTTGTAGAATGTGACAGTAGGTCTGTGTTCCTTTATACTTTCCTTCATTACTTATCAGGACCCCTTTGTAAAGTTTACATGTACTTAAAAGTGAGAAGCACAAAATACCACTTGTGTGGAACCTTTATTAACCATTTAACTCCCAGAAGGGATTAACATGCAACTTAATATCCTGCAAAATGCAGTGAGAATACACAAAGTTAGCAGGTAGAAATTGTTATCTTGATCTCGTGCAAAATTCTTGTGACTCATTTATAAGGAAATGTATAGCAGCTAGAAGGGAGAATTCATAATCAGATCTTGGGATCTCAAGGGTTTAGTGGTCACCCCGCCATTCCCTGTAGTTGACTGCTTAACACATAGACCACTTTCATAAATGGCTGCCGGATTAATATTCTTTTGTTTAAATTTGAATTAGCCCTACTGGCCTCGTTCTCCAGTACAAAATTCAAAAGAATACATTATCTCAAGTGAGGCCAGAAGGGCTAATTTAAATTTAAACAAAAAAATATTTATGTTTGACGCACGATCCTCGCAGTAGAGAGCGCTATTTATGCAATAGCGAAAATCAGGCCTGATATTTTTCAGGTCTGATTTTCGCTAATGCATAAAAAGCGCTCTCTACTGCGAGGATCGTGCATCATATGTAACTAACTNGCTAATTTAAATTTAAACAAAAGAATATTTATACGGCAGCCATTTATGAAAGTGGTCTATGTCTGCCGGATTGTAGTGCACTATGGTGTCTGGAGCACCCTTCCATCATTTTATAATTCTTGAAATTTTCTAGTACATTTACACTCCTTATTTATATTTAGGCACATTGGAAAGGATATCAGCAATACTTTTGCTAAACTGGAAAAGCTTGCCATCTGTAAGTTAAAAGAAAAACCTTTGCCATTACTAGAATTTTAGTTTATTTCAGTCCAGTGACATGCAGAACATGCTTGCACATCCTACTTATTTTGAAATTGTGAAAGCTGTAAACATTCACATTTAACTATTAATAATTATTTTAAATTAAATGTCATTCATGCAGTCAGATTTGATATGCAATCAATTTTCTCAAAAAAAACATCATCCATTTTGGCAGGTCCTGTCCCATTCAGTTTAATATTAGAGTTGCTAAAACTAAATAATTTCTGCTAAATAGTTCATTAATTTTCATTACCTTTCCATCGATATAAAGTTTATGGTGGTTGTGCTTTGAATAGAATGGTAAATAGTTTTTTCAGGAAGGTCACTCATCAAGCTCCTCTGTATCCTTTATAATGCAGCTGTAGCCATTGAAAACCTGGTGATGTGACTCGATCAACTTATAGTGAACAATTTCCTTGTAGTAACAGTTGTCATGTTGTACATGTTGCAACATGATGATGAGTTTGTGTGATCAACACAGACATTGTTATTAGAGGAGGACAGACTCAGAGTTAATGTCACCAGTGACAACATTTATTTTGCTTCAATCTTTACTACAGTATATAAACCAAAATTAATAGATTTCATGTTGTAGAGTGTCTGTTCAATAATACTTATAGCAGTCCTGTACATTGCCAAAGACATCAGCCTTTGGTGATTAAGCATCCCACGATCAATTACAAACTTGCAGGCAGCATGCATGCCACTTTTTAACTCGTGAATTGCGAGCATGCACAAGAGCGAGTTGTAGGTATGATCTGATGAATGGCGCTCGCTCACTTGCTCGCTCGATTAGTCGATTCCTGTAAACTTTTTTTCTATTTTAGGCTTTTGAACGCATTTGATAGTTTTTGGCGAGTGATAAACAAAGGAAATGGCGACCTTTGTTGCTAAGAATAGTGTTGGGGGTGAAAAAGAAGCCAATGATAATCTTGAAAGAGTANAGACTAGTAGAAATTCAGTTTTGGCTTGTAATTTTCGATTTCCACTGGCCAGTTTGGCTAGCAAACAAACTGAAATTGTTGTAATGTCTAAGATGTCACTAACCACATGGCTAGTAAGTTGAAAAGTTAGTGTGTAGCTCTTTACTGGTACTGATCTTGTACCAACTGATTCATATTAATTGTGACATAAGGTGCACGATTTCTGCTGGAATATATTATACGTACAAAATTTCATCGAACCAAATCCAGTAACTAATGTTAAGTGGAAAACATTTTTCTCGTTACATTCTGTACATTTACATTTACATTCAAGGTGTTTCTTACCATTTAACAGAGAAATTATGTGACTACATATATTTTGTGAATTTTTTTTTTTTTTGAACATTTCAAAGTAGCAAAGTGGCTAGAGACAAACTGACGGTGCTCTTGTGAATTGTTTTCTTACAGCTGGTGAGGTCTAAGGCTAGTACACAGGGGAGGCATCTGCAGACCCACTCAAGTACAGTAGTACTATCATTGCAGGTATGTGCTGTGCAAAATACTATTCAGCCAAATAGTAAACATTCGAGATAGGTGTCTGAGTGTATGCAAGGCATGCTGCATTCCCTGTTTACCAACCCTTGGCTGTAAGTTCCTTCAGAAAAAAGCCAAACTTAAAAGACATCTAACTTACTGAAAGCTATTTAACCCTCCTTTAAATAACAGCAAAATCAATTGTACAGTAATTAACACAAACACAATTGCAAGTTCTAGTGTATGCCATAAACAGTCCTTCCTTTTTAGCAAAGTCCTTTGCACAAAAATATTGATGCTAGTGCAATGTGATGAACTCTGGAAGTGAGACGGAAAGGCCTCACTCCCAGAGTTCCATGTAGCCCTCTAACATTAATTTTTTTTCACTTATCTCTGGCTCCAACAATGAATTTCACCGTATGTTAGCATTTGTGCCAGATTTTTTTTTTTTTTTCCTTCGCGAAAAACAGGCCAGAAGATCTGGTTGACATTTGGTGACTAAAAGGTTACATTTACAGTACAATGTAACTTACATGCTCAGTGATGTAGAAATTATTGTTAAACATTTTTTTTTCTCTTTTTTATCGAGGTTGGAGGAAATGTTTTACAATAAACCTATTTTTCTATCTGATGTTATAAAAACGTTTGTTTTATCATTATCACAGTCAAAACTAGCCAGGATGTCAAAGGACTTCAAAGGTGTCCTGGAAGTAAGAACTGAGGTAAAGAGCATGAATTTCTGTTGTTTGTTTATTACAAAGAGTTGCGATGCGGAGCTCTCTCATAAACGGTTCTCAAAGACTAAATTTTGTCTAAGCATGCCTGGGGTATTTAATCTGAATTAACCTTGGATGCTCTTGTAGCTTGGAAGGTTCACTTTGGTTCACCTTTAGCCTGATAAAACCAGGTTAGCTTTAAGCATTATTATATGGCATCAATGAACTACCAAAATTTTTTTGTTTTGAAGACGTGATATCTTCACTTGCACAGTGAATATACCTTTTCCATGTATATATTCACATGTAACAGAGTAAAATCCCCATCATGGTTGCACTTTTCACAGAGGGGTTTTTTGTTTTTCTGTTTAATCTAGAAACATTGGAAAGGTTGATTACTGATAGGAAAACATTTTTTGCCATGATAACTGGTTTTATATTTTACAGTATATCTGAATTTAAGTATATATGTCTAGGCGAAGATGCAGGTGATCTGTGCATTTGGGTCTTCTAGATTGAATATTGATAT